TGCTTTTGGCAATGGGTTAACATGAGACCTGACCCAGGCAGATGGGTAGGAGGATGTAGGGGGCCCCATCTGGCAGCATCCAGCCCAGTATCTCCATCAGGCCCAATATATTAATGATCTTTCTAACAGGCACACTTGTGCATTGCAAATGAGCAGTGACAATGACAGAATTGCAGCGTCCCCAGATGTTTTGTATGTTTCAGTCTTCATTTATTTGTTTTCTGTGCTGAGTTACTTGGGATACTGAAAAATGTAAATAATGAGTATGTGATCAGCAGCAAGAATGGAACTGTGCCCTTCCAAAAAGGCTAATTAAACCGAGTACCAAAATAAAACCTGCTTGAGTCTGCTCCAGCATCAGCCATGAAAGAGTGCTCATGAGCAAATAATTGACAATTAAAGCCTGACTTACAGAAAAGAAGAGAAAAAAAACCCCTAATCATGTATACAGCTGATGCAAGTGCTTTCCAGCAGGGAGGATCTAAGCAAGGGTTGTGTTGATTGGAAATTAGCTATGGCTGGGATGGGGGCCTGAGCGTGCTTACACCCAGGTGCCAAAAACTGGCTCAAAGCCTGAGTCAGAGCCACTGGTTTAAATTAGAACTGTTTTGGCAGGTTTTTTCATCTGAGGTTTTTAAGCTTCTTGTTGGTAAAAACATCATTGTGGTAGTGATTTGGGGATGGGGAAACAGGCAGGGAGTCCAAGCAGCGCTAGCTGCTGAATGGATAACTGTGTCTGGGAAGGGAGATGATTTGTTCAAAATCAGTGCTAATATATACATTGCCTAATATACACATAGCCAGGGGTAGGCTTGTCCCAGGGTGATGTTGATATGGGAGCTTAGTCTGGAGGACTGTGTGTTTGACTGTAAGAATTATAGGTGTGTGTGTGTATAAATATATATATACACACATATATATGTGTATGTATGTATATACAGTGATCTGATGTGCGCTCTTCATAGTTTAATGCTTTATTTAGACTGAATTAACTTGCTTCACAGGGCTTTGTTTATCCATTTTAATAAATCAGCGTTCTCAGCTAAATCTTGCCTTAAGGGTTGATCATAACCAGAACCTCTAAAAGAGCAGCAGATATAAATATTTGCTTTTACAACGGGAAAAGTCTCCTGAGAATGCTTTAGCAAATGCTGGGTTTGCCTGGAACAGGGGAGCTGGTAATTTGCTGTTAATAAGAAGTGGAGAAGCAGAAAGGTGGAGCTGTAGATACGGGGTCTTTCGTCACAGAGCTAAAGGGACAGTGTGTCATCAGGTAGGTTAAGCCTGAAGGCTTCCTCTGCTCCTCCCTAGAGAGACGAAGCTGATGCCATTGCATGGAGGGAGACACACAGCACAAGGTAAGTCCAGTGTCAATGGACGGAGGCAGCAGACTCAAATAACTTAAAACTTTCCCATTTTTCCCCTATTCAGAGGTCCAGACAGGCTAGAAGTGACTGGAATAGTGTTGCTGTCTAACAAATGAAACGTCAGCATCTAGCAGTACCTGCCTGGCAGTACAAGCTTTCTGTCAGTATTGTAAAACAGTGAAATAGCTGTGGAAAACGGGAACGTTTTTCTTAGGAGAGACTCTGGCAGGTGCCAGTGGGACTCTCCAAAGCAAAACTACTTCTGTGGTGACTCCCACTTTGGAGACTGAATTAAGACCCAGTCCTTGCAAGAAGAAAAGTGTTATTATTAGGTACAAGTTATAAATGCACTGATATGTCACTTCTGGAAATAGGACCCAGCTCTCTAGAGATCTCTTCATGGCCCTTTATGTCCTTGGCTACCAACTCTCCTTTTGTACTCAAACAGGAGCTCAATTCCTGAATAGTTTCAAGGATCTAGGTTGAAAATGTGTTGCATTAAAATAAACCCCTTTAAAATAAAGTCTTCTGAAATTGCTCTTAGCTAATGAGCTTGCCCCTGGCTATGGACCACGGTCATCTAATAGGTGGCAGATAATATCCTGGAGAATGAGGACAGCCTAGATTTCAAGAATAGCATAATTGTATGTAAATGCAAGGAACTGGGATCTCTTTTTTAAGCCTGAAAGAGCAAAGTTCATCAGATAACACAGCAGCTCCCAGCCCAGGAGCCCAGATTAGCAGTGCCGGGTTCAGTGCTGCCAGCCCTGAATGATGCATGGGAAGGTCTTTTTGGACTATTAAATTGTGATGTTAAATATATGTCTCTTTCTCAGCAGCCCTCAGCCATCATCTAACTGCTCTCATTAATTTAACCATCACTCAATGCCGCTGTCTTTAAACTGTTCATAGGCTCTTCTTCATGAGCAACTGGGTATTTCAAAGGCATGGAGCACTTTGTGCTCCTGCACACCCCAACAGTACAGGCTGCTTGCATCCTTGCTCGCTTCCGCGAGCTTGGCACAGGTTGTGTAGCCAGAGCCACTTGGGCTATTTGTAAATATGGGATTATCTGCATATAACCACTGCAGATCAGGATGCTTCTGATTATTTCTAACCTCGTACTTCCCATCTCTGCGTCATTCTGCAGAGGCTCTGCTCATCTGATTGTGATTTATCTGCACGGGTTCAAGGCTGTGTGGCTTTTGGCTTCCACAGAAAACAAGCCTCAAGTGCTTCAAGCTTCTCTGCACAGATCCAGTGGCTTTTAAGCCAACACATTGGCTACACTGGGGTGTTTTGCTCCTGGCACAAAAGCCACGGTCAGCACTGCCAGGGTACTGCTGAAGCCATCCCAGCCCTGGAGGTCGCACTGGGCGTGTCTTACCAAGGAGTTTTTGGGGGAAAAAAGGGGAAAAAGTTTTTTTAAATGGAAGAAAATTATGGCAGCACCAGACCTCATCAACCTTTACTCTGTTTCTCTTTAAGCAACACTGATAGTGCAACTCTGGGAATGCAGTTCTCTGGGGCCCCAGCAAAATGCTTCCCACTCTTCAGGTGGTGTCACCTTTACTCAAGGATGTGGATGGAAATGGCTGTACGTGCCCCCCGCTCCCATGGGGTGCTGGCACCACAGCGTGCTCAGAGAGATAAACCAGTGGGGCCAGATGGCGACAGAGCAAGATTTGACAGACATGTAGCTCCATCCCTCAAGCTCAGTGGGTTTGTCAGGAATGGTTAGTCATCCTCCAAATGGGCTAAGAAAAAAAGCTTTTCTTCCTTTAACCATGTGTAAGGGATGCTGGAGCCCATATGAAAAACAGAAACAAGTTTGGAAGCTGCATTTGCACTTTTATTGTACCAACTCAGTGTTTGCCAGCACTGATTGTCTTGTAAAATGTGATCTGAGTCCTTCCTATTGTGCTGATGAAGGGCCTGGTGGAGGGGAGCATCACCCAAGATACTCTTATCTCCCCACTTTCTTGCCCATCTGTTCTGATTCTGGTGTTGCATTAAAGCTCAGTAGCACATCAGTGTTCTGCAGGGATGCAGAAATGCTCAGTGGTGAGTACTGGGTTTTGAAGAGCCATTTTCAACACGCACAGGGGCACTGGGCCCTGGATTTTGGTACAGAATTACTCAGAGAACGGTGCTGCAATTCTGCTGCAAGGAGTCTTTAAACTGTGTTAAGTTACCCCAGGGAGAGGCAGCAAGCAGATGAAGGAGAAAGGCTGGGGATTATTTCTTTCCTATTTGCTGAGTGATCCAGGCTCCTGTTGTACAAAGAGCAGCTCAGCTGTCTCAGGGCTGGTAGACAACGCTCATTGTGCTTTTAATCACTGACAACAAATTAAATTGTACGTTATAAATGCCAATTATATCATAACCTGTAGTTATAGCATCATACTTGCTACTGAAAGCAATACCGCTACCCAACTTACCCGGTCTGTTTTAGAAAACAAGGAAAGGTTTGTGATCTTCCTAAGGAAAAAGCTGTTATTTATAAATGACATGTTGAAGCCTCCCCCCGTGTAAGCCTCAGGCCTGGCACTGATTTTGGCTGAGCTCTGCTGACTTACAGCGGGTGAAAACTCTGCTTTTTTAACACTGAAAAATGGGTCTGGGTCACCAACCCTGAGGAAGGAGATGTGTGGTGTGCAGGAGATGTTCCTCTGTCAGCTTTCCCTGCCCACTGAAATCACGTTGGGATGGGGCTGGGTTAGTTTGTGTGCTTTTATTGTAAGACCAGCTAAAGAAAAATCAAGTTTTCTAGTCAAAATTAACCAACTCTCCTTAAGAGCAAAAAACATACACGAGACTTCCCTTTGGATTAATATTTCCATTTATTCCAACTGGAAAAAAAAACATTTTCTTTTTTAAATATACTTAAGTGTCATTTCCTTTTTTTTTTTGCTTTTCTTCTTTAAAGGAATAATAATTATCACATTGTCTTTTACAAACAACAAAAGATTTCCTAGCAATAGTCTGTGGTATGGAGACACCCATCTTCAAGATTTGTTTCTGCATCTGCTGCATTGAGTAGGCAATGGGGTATCCCTGTGTGTGCCCAGGGGTGCTGGTGCTATCCCTGCATGGGGATCCTCATCCCGGGATGCAGGAGCACTCAGTGGAGGTGCAGGGGTACCCCGAGATGCTGGCAGCGCAGGGAGCGAGGGTGATGTTGGCTTAAAGCCCAGCTTTATCTTAACACCCTCAAGCACTAACCTACATCTTTGGGTGCCAAGAGCCCCTTTTGCAAACCTGCTCCTTTCCAGGAAGCACTGGGACAACCTGGCATTGGTTTGCAGTTCTCTGTTGGGATGTGCTGCGATGGCAGTACCCCAATGGTTTAAAGCATATGGAGAACAAACTCACATCCACCATAATACAATACAGCTGAGCCCTATATATAGAACATTCTGCCAGGATGGGGCTGGCAGGGGCTGAGCCCCACCCCAAACAGGGCAGGATCATGCCCATGGGGAGCGGTTTGCGGTTGTTCTCTTATGTGTTAGGCAGTAGGCAATACTGAGACTTCCACTTCATAATGAACAGCAGTTAACATAACCCAGGAGACTAGAGCACCATAAGACAAGTCTATATTCAAAACAACGTCATGCTGACATCACACAATTGCACCATTTACACTTTTATTTACTCCAAATAATAGTTCAACGTTTAGTAACTTCAGCGTTCTCTACAGAGGTGTAAAATTCCTTCTCTGGCTTTGGTCATTTACAACGTTGCAGACATTTGGTAGTTCTGTTCTTTCCTATTTAATAATAATAATTAAAATAAAAATAAGTCCCATTTGCAGCTATCAGGGTTCCTGTATCTGACTGATGGAGTGTAACCTGCAAATCACAGGCATGAGCAGAATTCAAAATGCCACCGAGGCCTCTACAAGACTTAATGTATCAGGAAACATTCCCTTTATTGACCAGGATCAAAACAAACAAACAAACAGAAAAAAAGGGTTAAACCAAACCAAAACACCTCAAAACAAATGACAACTCAAACTCTCACTGATAGACCTTAAGAAGTTTGATGACAGAATGGAAAAGAGGGGGGTCCAAAGTACTGTTTGGTCAGCTCTGGCTGAAAACAACTCTGAATGTGCATGCATTTTCCCAATGACTCCTAAGATATAGAAATTCCTCTGATATTACAAAATACAAAAATATTTTCTCCAAACTCTCATTTACATTGCATTTACAACAATCACGGAAATAACTTAGGCTCCCACACCGTCCGAGAGACAAATCACCTACCGACATGGCTAATGGAAAACAAAATCGTGGTGGAAAGCAAAAGCTACCAGCAAACTGATGCTGAGAGTCAACAGTGGTAACCAAAAACGTATGGACAAACAGAACTCAAACGGGTGGCAGTATCTGGGAGAAAGAGGAAAAACTACTGGGTAAGTATTAGAGGCTAAAGTGAACTTTTCTGTGTTCTTTTATTTCTCCAAAGTTAAGATGTGCAAAATATATTCACCGTGCCCAGGATTATGACTATTTCTAGAAGCCAGTCTACAACCTTCTCACAAATCCCTACTCTTTCAGATCGCTTTTTGTTACAATAAAAGCACTTACATGATCTAAGCCAGTGCAAGTTTGTGAGTTAATTTACATTCTCCCAAGGTGCCTGGCAATGATGCCATTAGGATATGATACAGTTTTTGCTCTTCTGTCTTTTCCGGCTGTGTAACTGTCCCCTGCCACCCAACGTGGAAGACTTGGGCATGCTGTATGAGCCATACTTGTGCAGGAGCTCCTCACTGGTCACATACCGGAGGCGAGTGGGTTGGGGAATTGGCTCCCCGAGGAAATAGCCCTCGTTGTCAGACTCCGAAGAGGAGGAGCAGGTCGAGCACCAGTCGTATTCGGCAAAGTAGGGCCCCCACCTCTCACCCAAGTGGTTCTGCAAGGCGAGATCCGACACTGTCCGGGGACAGTGGCCGTAGACGTCCCTGCGGGGACCCTGCTCCACCGTCTCCCTGCAGCTCCTCTGGTGCATGAACTGGTCGTAGTCTTCCCTGGCTCGAAGCGAGGGTCTCTCCTTCAGCCGGTAGCACTGCTCGCTGGCCAAGTGCAGGGCGTTATCCGAGCGGGAACGCCGCGACCGCCGGGGCCGGTGTGGGCGGTAATGCCGGTCATCATCCTGCAGGTTAGTTCGGCGGCGTGTGCGCTCGCTCATGGGGGCATGCCTCAAACCGTCCTGTGCCCCTAGCTTGCCCCCGGGCACCCCACTGCCATAGTCAAAGCTCTGGTGCATCCGCCCGTGCGCCGCCCTCTCTCGGTACCCGAGGGGGCTGGCGAGGTTGTGCAGGTTGGGCTCCATGTCCTGGTACTGCGGCACTGAGAGCAGGCTGCGGACGGACTCGGCGCTGCGAAACTGCACGGAGGAGTTCAGGGTGCCCATGTTGCTCAACTTCTCCGAGACGTTCATGCCCGAGTCTTTGCTTAGGTCAGGCATTGAGAACCTGGAGAGATGCTCCTGGCGCTTGGCTCCACCATCTGCTGAGAGGCCTTTGCAGGGAACAGGCAAAAGGAGAAAAAGAGAGTTAAGAAGGAGATATTTCTATCAGTAGAGATGGGGGGGAGAAGGCTGGTTTTGGCCTAATACTTTTGCTTTAAATAATAACTTCATGGTTTAGATGCTGTCCCGAAGAGCCCTTTTAAGAGGATGATTTTATTTTTTCCTAAAGAGCAGGCAGTTCCTCCTTTGGGGAAATCACACCAATTTAAGGTGTTTTGAGTTGGACTTGAGTTGCTTTTCACGACTTCCCTTCCCCATATGTCTACACTGCCTGCAACTTGATAGGAATAACTAGCAATACCAGTGAGAAATTCTGCATCAGAGGTAACCTGAGGCCTCCTGCATGCTGAGATAACTAGGGTGCCATGATCCAGCACCCACACCCTATGCAACAATATGTTTTGGAGGACTGAATAACAACAGGAGCAGCTTAAAATGGGGCCACTAATTCAGGCTTGTTACTATGCTGCACAGGTCCCATTGAACACGTTGCCCAGAGCAGCTGTGGCTGCCTTATCTCTGGCAGTGCTCAAGGCCAGGTTGGACATCGGGGCTTGGAGCAACCTCCTCTACCGGAAGGTGTCCTTGCCTGTGGCAGGGGGGTGGAACTGGATGAGCTTTAAGGTCTCTGCAACCCAAACCATTCTGTGATTCTAAGACACCACTGGCTCTTTCCCATGTGCCAGCCATCTCTGAGCTCCTGCAAGATGCTTTCCTCCAGCCCAGAAAGCCTTCACCCGACAGCAGAGAAGTGGGGTGTCTGCTCAGCAACCTGCCCATCAATGAGAAACTCAACACACCCCACACTGCCCTAGTCCTTGACCTGTTTTAAGGGTGTTTCCTGCCTATTTTGTGACTATCCCCATGTTAGCTTGACAACTGGCAGGAGCCAGCGTTTGCACTACAAGCTCAGGACAAAACGTTTCGCAAGCTATTTCAAAAGAGCTCCATTTCATCCCAAATCAAACGCAGTGTTTGCTTTGGCACTCTTCTCCCCGTCCCTCTCCGACAGCCTCCCTGTGCAGACCAAACGCAGAGAGCTGTGCACCATCAGCAGGATTTTCCCCATGACGCACAGCCCTTATGCAATAACCAGGAATTTATGACTTTGTAAATTAATTAAATAAAACAACAACCCAGCCCACAATTCAAGAATAAACTTCTTTTTTCCCCCTTCACAAAAGCTGCTTACATTTCGTCAAGAGCTCAGCTCCTCTGGCATTTGCTGCTCTTGCCAAACCTGAACAAGGGCTGCTGTCCCTAACTCCTCTCATGAGCTGCTTTAGGGTTTCTTTGGACTCAGCCTTAAAAAGATCAACAGATCCTGCAAGGATGGGCAGAACGTTTCCAAATCCTCCCCTCGGTGGCACCAGGGAAAGCTTTAGCACTTGAGCCCAAGCTGCTGCCGGGTCTCACATGATTTGGCTTTGCTTCCTGAGTCCCAGCTGCCATGGCCATTTCTCTCTACTCCTCCGCTTTCTGCTGCCAATGGGGATGTTTCTGGAGTTTATGGAAGGTAAAGCAAAGGTGATCCCTGAAAGCTACAGGAAAAGGAGGAGGCTAGGTTAAAAAAACAAAACAAAACACGAAAAAGCCATGTTTTGCTTTGAAAAGGGCACACTTCCCAAGCCAGCTTGACACCTTTTATCTTTTCCTAAGCCACACTGATTTTCAGTGACCCAACCCAACCTGCCTACTGCCCTTTGGAAACAGTCCTGCACAGGTTCTGTGTAGGTTCCCCATCCCTGCTTTCCCTGTTCCCATTATAGGAGTGAGTGATTCCTGGCACTCCTCCCTGCTGGACCCCCAGTCTTCTGCCTCTGATCCCAGTGATGCTGTTCGTCACATCAGGCACTGCTTCCCCATCTCCTTCCTGTGCCACCATGGAGGAGCCCAGTAGCACCTCCAGGAGTGAAAAGCAAATCAATAACATGCACAAAGACCCCCCAAAAAAGCTAGGATAACAGTGGGATTCATGGCAGAGCTAACCTGAATGTGAATCATGGCTGCTGACAGCCGAGTGTGGCCTTAATCGGATCTGTCAGACAATAGCTGACGCCAAGGAAAATGAGCCCTTGGTGACATTTATGCAACCCTTTGTTAAGAGAACTGCAATAGGAATGAGCAACAAGAGCACTGTGCAGGAATACAGCTCTAAACACCACAGGATGTTTCTGTGCTGTCAGCAGATGGATTTTGGCAGCATCATTTGAAAGGGACCAATCTCATCCTGCCTCATAGGGACACAGGGTGAGCCAGTGCTTCATCTGGTGACAGCAGCTGCATTAGATGGTACCCACAAGTTTTGGCTCTCCCACCATGGCTATCTCCATCCAGCTCCTGGAAAGGCAGAGCCAAGGCTTCCACAGGTTTAATTCACACAGGATGAGGGTGTCCAGCCCCTTGCACACACTGTGAGTGCTTTTGTCTCTCTCCCTTCAAAGTGCTGGTCAGCACAAGGGGCAGCAATTTCATACGAGGAGCCTGTAATATATATACAGCCCGTGCTTGGAGCGCAAGGTTTAATCAGTGATTATTATGTCCAGGGGATGTTTCTGGCTGTTCAACCAGGCAGCCTAATTATAATTAAGCACACATATTTTAAGGTCTAGAATTGCTGGGGAAATGTTGATTGTAAGAGGAATGGCAGCACAGAGCACACACAGCTCAGGGTGGATGGAGCTCATGCTCCTGAGGCTGCACCCAAAGCCCCCTTCACTTCTCAAGGATGCAAGTTCTAACCCTTGTGAAACACAAGCCTTAACTTTACATTAACATCAACACAAGGTGTAAAGCATCACAACTGGGGGGTAGGCTCAGATTAATCTTTCAAAGCTCTCTAAATGATCCTGCCCATCCCTGCGGAGCCACACAGCCTCAGCAAGGCACGGTGGGAGCACGCCAGGAGCCCTCCAGTCTGACTGCAGTGAGTTCAGAGGATGGCAATAACCATTTGTCTAAAAAGTTTCATCTAGAAAATATAACCTAGGAATAAAGTTTGAAAGAGCAGGGGTTGTTTAGTCTAGAGAAGAGAAGGCTTAAGGGGATATAATAACAGCCTTCAAATGCAGAAAAAAATGCTTGCAAAGAGGAGAGGAAGACGTTATTCTCCAGGTCTGGGGAGCTCCTGCAAGGAAAATTTCAGCTTGGAAAAGCATAAAACCTCCTGTGCAATCACAGCGGAGGGCTGGAGCAGGCTCCAGCACCTGAGGGTCTCCTGGGCACCCAAAGGCAGCAGGTGCCTGCGCATGCATAGGGTGGCTCCAGGTCTCCCTGGACAGGGTGAAGGTGGCACCGACCCTCCTCTTATGCAGTCACTTGCCATTTCAGAGCTGCACCAGTGCACTGAGGTCCAATCTTCCTGAATTACCAGTATTTATTTACAGCCGCTGCAGCTCCCTCTTAATGAAGTGTTTCACCTGGGAACACAGCTGATACCCCTACAGAGCCCTAACCTGGAAGAAAGAGCATGTGAGGGAGCCACCACACAGTGACAACTATTTGCTAACAAGGAAACTTGAGAATCTTTTTCCCAAGGCCATCCAGGAGAGCAGGAGCCCTGATCTGGATGGTTCTTACCCCATCACCAAGCCCTTTCCATGGGTGCAAACCTTGGGGTGATGTGTTGACCCCACTAGACCTCCCTTGTGTAGAATGATGCTCTGAGTGCACCCATTGGCAGCTGCCCCAGAGGCTCTTGCACTGGAAGAGGAGAGATGGCACCTGTGGTGCATTGGCTGGGAGCTGTCCCATAGCCAGATTGGAGCCAGCACCGTGGCACATGTGGACATAGCAGGTTATTTTGCTGCTGTTCTCCACTGCGTGGGGCTGCCAGGCTCAATATTTCACTCCGGAGCTATGGAAACACGCCTTTTGGATGAACACAAGCCAAAGCTGTAGCTTGTCTGCAGGCATTCAATATAAAACTGGTACAGAACCAGGAACGCAAACCAGGTTTCTGCTTAACATTAAGGTTTGATAAGAATACGACGTATGATCCCCTCTGAAGTCTTTCCCCACCCCTATTAGAACTATGTTTAACCCATCAACATTGCCAAGGGAAATAACAAACAAATAAGGCACAGAGATAATCCTCATAAGCATCACCTCTACAACTTTGCCACAACAAAGCACTTGAAGGCGCTGAAATCTCACTGGGTGCTTTGCTAAACCGGGGCTGCAAGTTGCAGTAATTATGAATTATTAAACCACTTGGTAAATGACAGCAGAGGGGCCGCAGGGAGCACGTATGCTGGGTGGGAGGCTGGGAATGAAGCCCCCTGTGACGGGAAGCAGCTTCCAGCCCTCATTACATTCAACTCCCAGCAAAGCTGTGCTAACACAGGGTGAGGCTCTGCTGCAGCCAGACATCCACTGCACAGATAGCATCGTCTGCTTCAGCCTGCCTGGGGAATGCAAAATGCCCTGACTTACAATACTGCAAACAAACCAGGCTATGCTGACGCTTGCTTCTTGCCTTTACATTTATCATCATGTACACATACACCTGTGCATCACAGCCCTCACCACCTGAGCCCCAGATGGGTGCCTGCTTGCACCAAAACACTGCACCCAACGCAGTGTTTAAATGCAGCTATGAAGATACAAGAGGGGACAGGATGGGATCTCTCTAGTCCAGCCACCCATGTCAGAGCCTTCTCTCTCTCATAGCACCAGGCAGGCACATTCTCACCAACCCTGAAACAGGGTTTATTTCAAGTTCAACCCCAAGAACTAAAAAGGAACTGAAGGAGAAACAGCCTGCCCAAGGCTTTGTTTATAGCTCAGCCTTGTCTCACTTCTGAGTGACCTCGGGGCATGCAGAAATAAAGCAGAACCCTTATGTAACTGGAAATGAAGGAAACTAAACAATTCCAGGGAAAGCAGAGCGCTCACCAAGTGGGTTGTGGTGCTGAGAGCCTCTATGGTGTGCCCCCACTTGCCATCCTGTGTGCGTCCATGTGCCAAATGGGGTGAAGGCATGATTATGGCTGGCTCTCACAGCCAAGCATGCCATGCTTCCCACTGCTGAGCGGCAAAAGGCGGGTGAGGGGGAGAAGAAACATTCCTGGCAGCTTTATAATGTTTTGGCATTGGTCATTTGGGATGGAAGACCTCTGTCTTCATGTCTGGTTTCAAAATGACTCAGCTTGGATTAGGAATGTTATACCTAGGTCTCAAAATCACAAGAAATCCTTCCAGGGATCCCACCTCCTGACTTGGAAGCAGTTTTACGCTGACCATGTCTAGAGAAAAGAGGATGGTAGGAGCGTGCTAGAGAGCTGGGAGCCTACTTTTTCTCAGAAAAAGTCATGAACAGCCAATGTGTCATTTCCTGGCTTGTGTAACTTGGCTGAAGCGCCAGGGGTGGCTTCCCTCTCCAGCCCAGGGGGAACAGCAGCACTGGTGGGATGCAGTGCCATGAGGACACAGGGATGGGGACTAGCCACTGGATGCCTCATCTCGAGCCTGTTACTACCATCCATGAGGGTGTCCCAAACCCTCAGTGCAGGAGAGGCTGTGCCATTGTTTCTTTGGAAAACATAACTCTGGCCCTGAGATATGGGACCTTTTCTTCCTCTCACCCCAAACCTTTCAGCTCTTCCTCAAGCAAGAGGAAGAGGGGACTGGAGCCAGACGATGCCTTCAGGTCACTCTGCAATTCAGATGTACAGGGATCAGCACTAACCCGTGCATATAGATAGGGTTTTTTCCTCTCTGCTTTCTGGGTATATCCCAGTGGTTGTCTAGCCCTGGAAAAACAACCTTTTTGGGGCCTTTGGGCATCTCACAACACAGATAACTGGAGAAACATGCACCACACATGTGAAATCACATTCCACCCTGTAATGGCACCAGTTTAACATCTTTCTTCTCCCCTGGATTATGCCTGTGACAGATGAGACTGTTACCCTCACCCAGACTCATTTTCCCCAAGGAATGCTCAAACTCTACTTCTCCTTTTGTCGTTCAACATGTCACCGTTCAATGTGACTTCTCCTTCCAAAGTACTCCTGCTCTGTCTGCAAGCTGCACACAGAGACTGTTCCCAGAGAATAACATTTAGCATTACTGGGCTATCTGACCATCTGGGATTTTGAGGATTTGACTGCCTGGAATTAGCAGAGATCAGGTCTGGGTTTCTAATTCAGCTGCCAGGCACATAAAGCACCTGCAAAACCTGTTCAGAGGGCAGTGCAAGCACAAGTGGAGCAAAGCAGAGCACAAGCACTGGGAGCATGGCTGTGATGGACCGAGTATCTTCTGGGAAGTGATTAACCTCTGGTAGGATCCTCCTCATGAGAAAAGCTTCCTGGACAAACTCCATCTCAGCATCATCCTGATTGCTTCATGAAGGGAGCTATGGGGTAAACATTGCTACAGCATCCACTGTTTTGCATTGTTGCTAATGCCATTAAAAAAAAGCCCCAAAGCAGCCAAAGGAAATACAATATAAAAGGAAATATAAAATCAGCAAAAAATGAGCTCTCTCTTGGAGAATGTGCTGGGAAATCGTTTTTGTTCTTTGCCTCTTCAGCTAATGGCCATGCTGGGCAGGAGGACCATCCAGTCTGCAAGAAGCTGTAGCAGATCAGTCTGTCACAACCTTCAGCTATGACAGAAAAGGGACTTTCAAACAGAAATACGGAAGGAAAGGGGAGATGCCCTCCACCAGCAAGAAACTGCCCTTTTTCAGAGGATGTGTTTAAAACACATTAGCATTTGTGGCAATTACACAAGCAAGACCTAGAGGATCGTAGAGATGCTCCCATCTAATTTGAACCCTGAAACAGAGCACAAGGAGGGTCAAAGCTACCCCTGCAACTCCAGGGTCTGCTGGTGCACTACTACCCATGGTGAAACAGCAGAGCACAGTCCAGTGCTTTAAGGGCAATGTCCAGGATTAACACGGTGTCACACAGCTTTACTAATCCACAAGGAACTGGCTTTCAAGCGACTAAGTTGAAAAAGAGAAACCTGGGGTCTTGCAGGACACTTGGGATCACAAAGATTTTGACCTATCCAATGGGTGACCCCGAGTCTATCATTGAATGCATTACAAATATTACAGGGACAGCATCTGTTTGCAGGAGACAGCCTTCTGGCGAGGGACACAGGGATTGATGCTGCACACCCTATGAGTTATCTGCTCTTACGGATGCCTCTGGCTAGTTAGTTGTAATAGAAACACCACAGCAAAATTTGCTGCCAGGGAGGGTCCAGCTTTTAACATGTGCTCTGCAGCTCAGGGACTGTTTGCGCTTCAGCTCCCTATAAAGAAAAAAAGGGTTTCAGTGATGCCATAAAATGTTAAGACGGATGCAGTGTTACTTCACTTTATAAGGTGAAGCAGCTGCGATGGACGCATCAGCAGCTCAAAGGGACCTTGTGTGGAGTTTACGGGGGGAGCTTCACGGGGTGCTTGCTGGACTGCTTGCTCAGTGGCAGTGGGGATGGAAAAAGCATTGGGGTGATGCACCCTGACATCCTCACCCTCAAAACACTGCCATTTAAATGGGATGATAATTAAGTCCTCTGTAATTGCACACACGGCCCTGGTGGAGCTGCCTGTTACTGCCCAGTGCCCCCCCAGCTTGAGCTGAGCCAGGTCCCGGAGGAAGGCAAGTTATTAGAATCCTACACATCAATAAAAATGTTATCACCTCACTCTGCAGAGGAACTGCTTCAATGCACTGCAAGCCCCATCATGCTGAGCCTCTGCTCCAGAAAGCAGGAAAGAAGCCAGTCTTTACAGCAGGCACTGCCTGTAAAGAAAGTCATGCTTTGGGAACGTATGGGACAGGTCCCTTTGGAAGGTTTCCTCCCAGCATTTTAAAAAGGGGGTTCTAAAATGAAATGCAATGATTTCCACTCTAATGCCAAGGCTTTGCCACGTTTCCTGTCTCTTGACCTGTATCCTCAATAACTTGTTAACACTTCACCTCCAAAGCATGCAACAACCCCTCCAATACTCAGGGATTGCTCATCTGAACTTGGTGTTGCTCAAGACTCTTTGTACTGATGGGGTTTACACAATAGGAGTTTTCAGGAACACAGCTTTGGAAATGTGGAGCTTTGCTAATGGAAACCTTGTTTTGGAGAGCAATTCCCAACTCCCTCACCATTTCACAACTCTTTTTCCTCTGTGTCTATCTGAGGCTGTTTGAGCAAAACCCTCTCCAGCTCATTAGTTTCTCCTCTTCCCCTCCACTGCTGTGCCACTTAGGAAGATCCCGGCTGAACACAGGAACCATTTCACATTCTGGCACAGGGCTGGCAACTTCCCTAAACAAACACACCAAGGAGCAGGCTGAGGAGGAAGCACTGGTGTAGCAGAGCAAACCTGTCTGTCCAGGCAGGGCAGAACATGGAGCTCGGATTCAGCTCTCTGAGGACCCGCTGCCAGCATCCCCATCTCTTTTTCCCAGGAAGTTTTCTGCTGAGGGACATGGAAGCAAGCACTAGCTCTGCCAGATGAGCTCAGCCATCTCATAATGCAAACTACCTGCATGAAGGATGGAGTTTGCAGGGGACTGAGATTCCCCAGTGCTGAGCCACGGACCAGAGCCTGCTGCAGACACGTCCATGCATGCACAGCCAGCCCCGCGGCCGCAGAATGAAACCCAAACATGTTTGGGGTGAGAGGACTGAGAAATATTACCCTAGGATGCACTCATGAGAAATGGGTTCAGCCTGATGGGACAAGCATCTCGCCTGGCTTTCCCCTGCAGTTTCTATCTGAGGACTGGGGAATAGGAGAAACAGAGCCATGCGTATGGTGGGAGGAATTTCTTTTAACTAGTCATATGCTCGAGGACTGTGCAACATGCAAAAAGGGCTTATTTCAAAGCACTTTAAAATAGTTTTAGCCTGCAAGGGCAGCTGACAGCAGTCCTTCAAAGTGCTGAAGGCTGGAATCTGCCTCTGCATTAGCAGCTGGCCTTGATTCCCCCCTCCCTCTTCATAAAAGGGAGGATTAAAGAGCTTGCAAACATTTGTTCTGAGCTAACATGGAAAAGCCAGCAGTCCATAAAGCCCTGCATTTGGTAAACCAGCAAGCAGAGCAAGAGGAGGGGTAGCAGGCACTGAACAGCAGTCCCCAAGCTGCCAGTCACCCCTGTAATGGAAAGACACCAGCTGTGACACTGACCCCATCACATGGAGGAGATCTGGGATGGTCACAGGGTGGTACCCTGGGAGCAGGGGTGATGTACCTGTTGCATTAGAGAGTGCAAGGGACTCCATGGAGCCGCGGGGAGTCTGCTCGGTAGGCGTCAGGTCCTCTGTGAACTTGAGGGCATTGATGGGGTGCCGGGTGCGGCACTGAGGCGTTGGCATCCCACCTTCCTCTTCTTCTTCGTACTTAGGGACTTTGAGGCTTCCTCTGGTCTCAGGGAAGCTCTGGCTGGACATGTCGCTGTAGCTCTCCTGTGAACGAAGCCTCCCTGAGTAGTAGTCCTCTCTGCAGTCCTGGACGAAGCTGCCACTGTGGCTTTTCATGGCCAGCGAGGAGCTCCTCTTTTGATTGCTGAAATGTTTTGCCCATACATCCTGCTGCGAGCCTGGGACCTGGCTGGGGTTATAGGAGGTCCTTATGTTGCACTGGCTGAGAAGCTGCAAAGGGCTTTGAGACTGACTTTGCTCCATTTTGCTCCCATAGTGATAGAGCTCGTCCCTGCTCCTCCACAAGTGCTCCCTGTTGAGGCTCGGCGTCTGGCTGGCCAGGCTCAGCAAATCCATCTGCAGAGACAGAGGGTCCACGTCGGTGGAGAGGCGGTTGGAGGTGACCTGCAGCTGGTTGCATGGGCTGCGTGCTCCCTCCTCACCCTTCCCCTTGTTCTTGCCGATCTTGGCGCTGCGGCGGGACTCCTTGGCTCGCGCATTCTGGAAAGCTGAGTCAGAGGAGTCAGAGCCATTGGGGTCATCGCCGACACTGCAGGCCCTGGAGCAGAAGATCTGCCCCTGCTTGGGCAAGAAGGGCCGTCCCAGCAGCGACTTCTTGCACTGCGCGCAGCAGAAGCAGGTCTCAGTGGCGTGCCAGTGCTGGCCGTCGTATGTCATCTGGCCCTGGTCGATACCTTGAAGGGGAAGAGGCACAGCATCAGAGTCAGCCCATGTACATCACCTCACACTGCACTTAACATGTACATCCCTATTAATACAGGTTGGGAGAGCTGGGCCTGTTCAGCCTGGAGAGGAGAAGGCTCTGGGAGGCCTTAGAGCAGCTCCAGTGCCTAAACAGGCTGACAAGAAAGCTGGAGAGGGGCTTTTCACAAGTGCCTGTAGGGACAGGACAAGGGGAATGGTTTTAACCTGACAGAAGGGAGATTTAGATTAGATATTGGGAAGAAATTCTTCACTATGAGAGTGCTGAGGCACTGGCACAGGGTGCCCAGAGAAGCTGTGGTTGCCACACTCCTGGCAGTGTTCAAAGCCAGGTTGGATGGGGCTTGGAGCAACCTGCTCTAGTCGAAGGTGTCCCTGACTATGGCAGGGGATATGGCACTATATGACCTTTAGGTCTCTTCCAACTGAAGCCATTCCATGATTCTGTGCTCAACTACAAGCAACATGCAGCCTGGCTCACTACCGAAAGCTTTCAGCAGGGTTTCTCTGACGTGTGAAGTTAAGCCCGTTTCTAATTCCTTGCAGGCTGCAGGCCTTTGCTTGGGAGTTACTCAGCTCTGGGAAAGGCAGCAGAACTGAGCCTCAAGCTATTTCGTATTAAACGGGGATATTTCCGTTCATAAAGCAAAGGAATGCAAGAAGTTCTCCATAAAGTCCTTGAAGTCAAAGCAATAATATGCTGCCTATTTAAAAAAAAAACAACAAAAAGCCTCCAACTGAACTGTAATGAGGAATTCCTGCTGCCCTGGTTAAGTATGCAACAAAGCAGATGACATCCCCATCCCTCGCTGCTACCACGACCCCATCCTAACTTTATTTTGCCTACTGGGGCCCCTAAAAGGGAAAAGAAAGACCCAGCCCCAGTGATCTGAGTGCACGCTCCTGCCTTTCCCCCTTTGGCTTAACTAAAGGAACTGATGCAGCAAGTTCGCTCCCCACCAGCCAAACCCTGGGGAGCACATGCCTGCTGCACGCACATTGCTCTTGGTCAGAGCTGTGAGCAAAAGCTCCTGAGGTTTCAGCTATAACGTTCATTCACTGGTTTAAGCTGCTGTTCCTGGCAACAGCCCCTGTTACCTGAGAAACTGCCTTGCACAGGGTGGGCTGGCCAGCACGGTGGGGTGCTGCACCACACGTGTGCAGCGCATGGGCTCGCACAGTTTACAAATGAACAGTACATTAACAGCCCTTTTTATTCCAAACTAGGTTTGGTTTGGTTTGGTGCAATTGGGTTTTTTCTTTTCCTTATAAAGAATGAAATGCTTTCATACAGACTGGAGTGCTACACTTGCGGATGGTGGGTGGGATTTTATCAGCTCCTTTTCCAATGCGCCCAAGCCATCTTGCAGAGGAAGGACCTTACATCCTCAGCTACCCAACTCCAAGCCTTATAAGTCTTATCTCTGATTTATGTAGCTATTAAGCACAACACCCAGTGACTACTACAAGCAACTCGCACCAAGATAGCTGCAGTCCTTCCTTTGCTAGAAATGTGCAGATATACACCAAAACAGGCATTCTGCCCCCAAAACCTGAGAGTCAGCAGGCTCCAGCTGGCTGGATGGAGGAGAGAATAGCAGATGGGGGAAGCAGGAGAGAAGGGAGCATGTGAGAAGCGTTAACAGCTGCTTCCTCACCGCTCCGCATCTGAGCTTTGGGGAAGGATGTGCTGTAGGTCACAGCAAACACGTCCTCCAAGTGCCTTGCTGATCACTGAGTTCCCCCCACTATGCCATCTGGCTGCTGCACAGGAGCAAAATGGTTGTTTGGGGCTTTTTTTCTTTCCCTGCAGCCTATGAAACACTGAACACGTGAGCTCACCTCTACGGACAAAGAAAGAGCTGCCCATGCACCCGCGAGCAAATGCTCAGCCAAGTGGCAAACAGGGCTGGGTAGAGCAGCAAGGCGGCTTCCCATTCTGCCCAGCTTACCACCCCTGAGTGCTGGGATTCAGCTAGCCCCCAGAATAAAGCATATTTCAAATCACTGCTTTAGAAACCGAAACTGACTCTGGTGCATTATTTCTTTCTGTGAGAACAACTATTTTTGGGTTGACTAGAAAAGGCTAACAGAAACAGTAACGATGCCTAATGAACAAGCATCTTTCCTGTCAGTAGCTCGTTAATACATGTGATCCTTTGGCAAGCTTGGCTGGGAAGTATCTGTGAGTTGAAGAGCCAGGCTGTTTACAGGAAAATGGGATTTAAAGGAAGAGAAGCATACATTATATTAGACCAGAGAAAGCTTTCAGTGGCTGCAATAGCTCCTGAGGTTACTCTCTGATAGAGAAGAAACAAGAACGGATAAGCAGTGGTTTAACCAAATAGATTATTGTGCTAACTCCCTGGTGGCACGCAGTCCTGCCTGCAGCCCCGGGTTGCTGTCAAGACTTACTGCAACAGCTCTTCTTGCTAGAAACCACACTGCAGGCTGCAGATGTGGCACTTACCGATGTGCTGGGCGCAGGTATCACAGTACTCAGCATAAAGGGACTCAAAGCAGCTGCAGCAGTAGGGCCTGCCATCCTTCATGATGTACCTCTGCCCCCCCAGCACCGTCTCACATTCAAAGCAGCAGAAGTGCTTCATGTGCCAGTGCCGCCCTTCAGCCTCGGTGCATTCATCAGCAAAAATGATCTGGGGAGGGAAACACAAATATGGAGCAGAGTTGGTCAGAAATGGGATCTGGGATGTGGGCAGCAACCTTCCTGTCTCCTGCCTGTGCACAGCAGATGTGCCCTTTGCTCATACAGCCTCCCAGTTTTACAGCTAACCCCCTCATGATGCATGGGAAACTCCTGTTCTTGCAGGGGCACCCCATCACTTCTTCAGGAAATCCATTAAAATGCAAATACCTCAGGACCACGTTAGTGCAAGGACTATGAAGTGTTAAGGCAGATCTCACAGTAATGTGCTCCTAAGCACATCCATCAGCAGGAGGGGTCGATCAGGGTAATAAACACGCTTATATACAACCGATCGATCTGGTGGGCTTTTGAAGAACAGAGCAGCCACTTACTAAAACACATTTACCCATCTCTGAAAAAGGGACACGAGTACAAATGATGAAGTGGCAGCTTTCTGGAGGAGAGAGAAGACAGAGCTACAAGGCTCCTCACTGCTGTCTCTTCCCCAGCCTGTGTGCTTATAAAGATGATCGCTGCCATTATACAAGCAGGAAAACTGAGGCACAGAGCGCTGTTAAGAGTAGCCTGGTGAAGCAGCCATCTCAGATGTTTTCAGTGGATGCTTTCTTGCTGTCTCTGCTTTACATCCCCACTCCCAAAGCCAAGCCAGGGGAGTAAGGAGCAGCCCAGCTCTGCTCCCTCACTCTGCCCCAGCACAGGTCACACCAAAAGCTTTTCCTCTGCAGCTCCTCATACTCCTGAGTTATTCTTTCTCCCAGTTAGCAGTGAGTGTTTCAGGGGAAGAAATATGCATTAAAGAAGGAGCTGAATGAAAGACTTACATGAGAATTTGCAGGGATAAAAAATACATGATAAAAAAATTACCCAGCCTAAGCCACAAAGAACTAGGGTCAGTTGAATGGTTAGGAGTTGTTTTTTTTACTGGTAATTCTACAAATTTAATTGGATACATACGTCAATGCTCTTTATATTTGAAGTGCCTATAGCCTTGGATGTTTACTATTACATGCTTGCATAGATGGGGACGTGGTATTTTATAGTACACATGGTTTTCCACGCTATGGCTTTCATAACTTTAAAAGCCAGAACAATTTCCTTCACCAGCTTTTTAAACAGAGATTGACACTTCAGAAATGCTCAGAGGCGGCTCTGTACAGTTCTCTCTATTCACTTTGTATTCCATTTGTTCAGCTTCCTTTAGCCCATTAATCACCTCTCTCAAAGCCCACTTCAACTCAGCACTCACTCAGTCACTACCATCTTGTAGGAAACACAGCACTCATCCCACCAGAAGCTTCCTCTGGGAAAAGAGAGGAAAGGGAGGACCACCACACACAGCTGGCTAGAATCAGCAGCACGAAGGCTCTGCTGTTACTGGAAGTACTCATGGCATGTGGCAGAAGCCAGGGTGAGCTGGCTCTTACCTCATCGCACGCCGCGCAGCGGGGCTTGAGGCACTCGGCATGATGCCTGCCGCAGTAGATCTTCCCATCTTGGTAAAAGTAGATCAGGTCGACCAGCAGTTCATTGCAGATGCTGCAGATGAAGCAGGGAGGGTGCCAGCAAACACCATGTCCCGCTCGAGAGGCGAAGACAGCCATATCCCCTCCGTTGATCTGGCCACCGCACTGTCAGAAAACCACAGAATCATGGAATGCTTTCAGTTAGAAGGGACCTAAAAGCCATTTAGTGCCATACCCCTTGCCACAGGCACGGACACCATCCCCTAGAGCAGCTTGCTCCAAGCCCCATCCAACCTGGCCTTGAACGCTGCTAGGGATGGGACAGCCACAGCTTCTCTGGACAACCTGTGCCAGCACCTCACCACCCTCATAGGGAAGAACTTCTGCCCATTATCTAATCTAAAACCACCCTCTTTCAGTTTAAAGCCATTCCCCTTGTGCTGTCCCTTGCCAAAAGCCCTTCTCCAGCTTTCTTGTCAGCCCCTTTAGGCACTAGAAGCTGCTCTAAGGTCTCTCCTGAGCCTTCTCCAGGCTGACACAGCCCAGCTCTCTCAGCCTGTCTTCATAGCAGAGCTGCTCCAGCTCTCCCAGCATCTTTGTGGCCTCCTCTGGATTCACCCTAACAGATCCATATCCCTCTTATGTTGGGGGACCCAGAGCTGGATGCAGTACGCCAGGTGGGGTCTCAAAAACCCAATGTTTACAAAGGAGCAGTTGAGCCCACTGCCACCCATCACCAACAAGCTGCTTTCACAACCACAGCAGCAGAAGGTGCTAATTCACAGCTCCTTTCTGGTATCTCTCAATTTCTTTCCACACCCATTTTGTGGCCAGGATATAAACAGCTACCCCCCTGCACAAGGCCAGGAGCTGAAATGACTGCTCCACGTGAAATACTGTGGGGTGTTCTTGGCATGCACCCCAATGGACCCCAGTGCTCATAGCTGGTGGGGGGCATGGGGTGGGTGCTACACTCCTGAGAGCTTCACCTAAGTGATGATACAAAAGCTGCCCCACTTGCACCAGTTCATTGGTTACTACCCACCTGCTCGCAGATGGCTCCCGTCATGGTTACAGGGAACGGCCGGACATTGCCTCTCCCTAAATTTTCCCTCTTCCTTTGGTTGCTGAAGAGTTTGAGCTCCCTCTTCTCCTCCTCATCCAACGAATTGCAATAGCGGACCTAAAAAAGACCAGTGATGCGCAGTGTTAGGGGTGTCCCTGGCCAGGGACCCACAGTTCACGGGCTCTGCAAACCTCTGCACGGGGGTTACAGAAACAAACTCTGCCCTTGGCTTGGGGGAGGCTGAAGAAACTCAGCTATCTGGGCTTCAGTCACTGCAGGGTTTGGTAAAACATATTAAGAGGCAGAGGTGAGAAGAGAGGGCAGGAGAAAGGTTGCTCTTCAGGTGTTCAGCTTGTAGGAAAGTTGTGTCCTCAGCATCCCACCCAGACCAGCAATCAGACAGATAGCTTCCATGCTTTCCCCACCAGCCTCCTTATAGCAAAGGTCTTACAGCTTCAAAATACTGAATTAGTGTTTTAAGAGCACAGGCCCTTTTCCCAGTGCAAATGATGGAGCTATTTAGGAACTCCAGCTATTCTTCCAGCATAAGGTAAAGTCTGCACATTTGCCAAACCTCTGCATTGGAAGGTAACAAGGAAATAAGTAAAATAAAATAATACAACGAACAATGCAACATTTCCAAAGCTTATAAAACTCTGAGGTGTTCCTGACTATTTTAACTCTGCTAAGCTCTTGGCTGGTTGAATCTCAACAGAGAATCACAGAATGGTTTGGGTTGGAAGGGACCTTAAGATCATCCAGTTCCAACCCCCTGCCATGGGCAGGGGCACCTCACACTAGACCGTGTCAGTGTGAGACAGAGCTCAAGGCTCTGTCCAGCCTGGCCTTGAACACTGCCAGGGATGGAGCATTCACCACTTACTTTGGGCAACCTGTTCCAGTGTCTCATCACCCTCCCAGTAAAGAATTTCTTCCTTATATCCAAACTGAACTTCCCCTGTTTAAGTCTGAACCCATCACCTCTTGTCCTATCACACCTTGAATTTTCAAAGGAGCGAAACCGAACATGAGGGGAAACTGGAAGCAAACCCTACTGATGTGCACTAAACACATGGAGACTCCTGCCTCTGATGAGTCCCTGCTGCAGTAGCAGCGTTCATGTGTATCTGCTCCTACAGTTTTCACCTGTTGGAGGCTATGGGTTCTCAGTGGCTGCCAAGGAAGGCGGGCAGGCAGGCTGGGGCTCCAGGGTGTGCAGGAAGAAGCCCCTGTCCTGTGCCTGGAGCTCCCCTGGTGCTGGCAGCGCCGTGCTGTGCCCATGGCACCCAGCCACGCACAGGCAAACTCATTAAAATCTCACCTAGATGAAACACGTTACCTCATGTACTTTCCAGAGCGGTTTCTTCAGAAAGCAGCATGAAAACAGTTTTTTCCTGTTGTTTACACAGGGAAATTTCATGGGCTACCCGAGGCCAATGCTGTCACTGGTGAGAACAGGATGTCAAAGACTGGACCCTTTCTGCTGCCTCACATCCTTCTTGTGATATGTGTGAAGGTTCATTTACTCTGACTGGTTTTGGCTCAACACCCAGCTTGCCAGGCTCTCCCAGCTCATACGGCTCAGCCCAAGTGAGCCTTATGCACGTAACATCCTCAGCACATGTACTCCAATTCCCAAGGTGAATCGGAAGCAGCATTTGGGAAAAAACCAACTTTGGCAGCTTTGGATCTGGCTCTAGCTGATCTCAACAGCATTTCAAGCCACTCACAGCAGAGCTCTGGCCTCCTCAGGCTCAGAAAATGCTTTTAGTTCAGAGAACTGAAGAAAGGTGATTTAAAAAAAGCTGACTTTGGAAACAAACAACTCCCTCCCCACCTCCAACACCACAGAAGCAGGGAGTAAATGCAGCACTTACCTAGCAACATGACCGAACTCCAAGTGAATAAACCCAAAAAGCAGAAAGGGCTGAGAAGGGACCAGCCACAAGTACTACGAACAACCCCAGGAGGTGCCTGCCCACCTGCAGCCCTGAGGGATGTCTGAGGACCTTTTCTGGCTACTAACCTCATTGTCGTGCGGTGGCAGCTGGTGCAAGAGCTGCTTTATGCGAGACTTTTCTCCCGGGCTGTTGACGTACGGCACCTTGTCCTCAGGCAGGCAGCTGTAGTACTGGTGCACCTATGGAGCAAGAGAAAGCACTGCAGTGGGGCCCCCTGGCCAAGCCACCAGCCACCCCCAAGCCAGCAGGCACCAGGTCTTCCCCATGATTTCAAGCAGGGAAAACACATCCATGCTTTGCTTTGGTTCTATTGCCTTTTCCCCATGGAGAAAAGGCAGCAGAGCTTGTTACCGTTTGCTCTGTCAGCCTCCATAGCGTTAGCATGTTTTGCCGGCTGCGGGGATGTGTCAGCACCTGCCTCAGCAGGGGAGGTTAAAAAGGCTGCACCCCGGCAGCCTCCGTGTTGCCGGCTATCTCAGCCTCCACCTCCATCAAAACCCTCCGGGCTTTCTTCTGCAGCAATTTGTGGAAATAAACAGCAGATAAAATCTGTTGGGAGGCTTCGTGTTTTTTTTTCTCTCTTTTGTCTCGAAGGGTGTAATTAAAACCTGCTATTATAAAGGCAGTGTGGTGGGGCACGGCACTGGAGGAGCCTGGTGGCAGCCCAGAGAGGAAGCACACCCTGAACCCCAGCGCGTTCTCTCCTCCGACTGCCACACCTGGGATGTGCATCCAAGGGCCGGGCCAGGCACTGGGATGAGATTCATTGGCCAAGGATCAGCTCTGAAATGGCAACGGTGATGCTGATGGCTTGGGAAGAACCAGGAGAAGGTAAGGGTAAGGGAAAGCTTGGCTGGGATCAGGAGCCTTTGCAGACCTGGATGCCTCTGGATGCTCAGGCAGGAGCAGAGGGTTGGATGACTTCCTTAAATCTGCACTTAGCTAAAGAGATGCAAACTGTTTTCCTGGTGCACACAGCTTTCTGCCTTTGCTGCGGTGAGATTAACCCCCTGAGATGCTCCCTCGGCTCTGAGACACTGCAGCAATTCATCTCAGAGCGGCTGCACTGTCTGCAGCTTTCTCAGGGCTTCTCCCTAACGATGTTTTGTAGTGGCTTCTGATCAGCTTTCCCCCCCCCTGTGTAGAGAGCAGCACTTGGGCTGGCTTTCCCTAGAGAAGCTCTCTGTCCACACAACCCTAGCAGCATCTGCAGGATGACAATCCACTGTGGGTGTCTGCGAGGGAAGGGGATATGGGAACACAGAGGCAGGGCTGCTGGGCAGGGGAGCTCACCCATGGGCTCACAGGCTGCTGTAACCTTCAACAAGACATTATTTTTTTATTCAGGAATAAATACCCAAACCTGGCATTATTCAGGAATAGTTTCCCTGCATTCAGCTCACTCCCTGGTCTCACTCAGAGCTGCTCCACTGGCTGCGGCTGCTTTTCTCAATTCCCAGTTCCCCCAAACCAACTCTAACATTCATCTTTCCCCATCATTATGTTTTGCAGACAGGGTGATTTTTAGCAGACTTCTGCCCATAACTCTGCGGGGTTGATGACAAAGGAACTACTTGTGTCACGAAGCTGAGGAACACGCTGAACATACACCACTTCAAACCCCTAAGTTTGTTTTGCTAAGGCACAGCAGAAGCAGACCCACCAGCTACAGAAACTGCCAAAGAAAGGCTGCTAAGTGTTTTGTTATGTTAAAAAGAAAACAAGCTACGTACATTAGAATACTTACTTTGCATTTATAGAGCATCCTTCATCCAAGGACATCAAAGGACAATAAATACACTTAAATTCTTATGACACGCTACATGAAGTAGCAAATATAGATGCTAGAAAGGACTGTTTGCAGCATAATGGTGTTAAATCAGCTCCATGAGTTTATGCAGCTAGTCCATAGCAGAGCTTGAAGCTGATAGTCTCCTGGTGATGCCCTGGCTGCCGTACCTCTTACCGCGCTGCCATGCTGAGCCTTACCAGCTGCTACGGACACCTCCTGACTTCTCCTGCCAAATTCCTCACAGGCTGCTTGCCTTCCCCTGTGCTCAGGTTGGTTAGTTTGTGTTTTTATTCCTTTCAACGGCATTTTTTTGCCCACAGAGTCCTTGAAGTTGGTGGAGACCAGAAATGACTTTTCTTTGTTTTGAAGAGCTGCCAAATTCCATCATGCTGCTCCCTAAAGCAACAAGCTACAAGACGCTCAACCCTGGGCAAAAAGCAGGGATGCGAGTTCTTCCCCGGAGCCCGACGCAGCTGGATGTACGTGCCTAGCTCCGCTCTCCTGCTTCCGCTGGGAAGTTTTCCATTTAGTCTCAGCAGGTCCGCGGGAACCGGCTCCCATCACAGCAGCAATGTAGCTCAGCAGGGATTGGCAATTCGGTTTGAAAAGCAAAACAAAATAAATATTACAGGCTCCAACCTGTGTTCTGTTGCCTGAAATAACCTGAAAGGGTTTGCTTTGGATTTGCATCAGCCAAAGGGAACTTCTGTAGGGTTGTTCATGGAGGGGATGGAGTGGAGGCTGCTGCCAGTCCTCGACCAGCATCCACAAGAGAGCTTAGGGGGAGAAAACCCTTTTGTCATGCCTCTCAATGGCTTCCTCTGCTGTTGCCTTTACATACACCATCCTACCTGTGGACAAACCTGAACAAGGAGGATGGACAGGTCCTTGCACCAGGAGAATCACTCCTGTCCCGAGAGGTCCAGCCAGAGTGCAGATAAAGAGCAGAAGGACACCACTTCCCTGAGCTGACATTAACCCATACTTGTGCAAATATGCTCTCTCATCCATCACCTACTCCTGATGCAATGCACCCACATCTGTGGATGGGAGAGCCAAGCCTTTGAGGGATGGGGTCATAGGCTGCCAGAGTCCCTTGCCTCTGTGCTCAGCCAGCCGCTGACAGCATTCCCAGCTCCACGGGTAAGCGGCTGGCAGTTGGGTTGGCACAGCCCAGTTGTGATGCTCAAGAACTAGTTAACATAAAGAAGGAAAGGGGGGATTCTCAGATCAATCTGGCTTTGCAGGGAAAAGGCCTACAGAAAATTTTAACTTGCTGGAAAACTAAAACTGCTCAGTCTGCAGTTGGCTTTTGTACAAAAGGTTAAAACAAGTCCTCCATCCAGCTCTGGTCCGGAGCACGCACAAGCCTTTGTAACTAGTGAGCCATGCAGGGCCAAAAGGCCTGATCCAGACCTCCCAAGCACCAGCAGATGGCTCCTCGCTGACCTTACAGGCTATGCAACATGAGCTGCAGATAAGCAAACAGTGTGGGGCAATGACCCAGGATGGATAACATTTCCCTTCTAAATTGTGCAGTATCTTTAACTGTTTTATTATTAAATAGTTCTGCCTTAGACCACAGCAGCTCCACATCCTGCTGCTTCCCCTCACAACAGATCTCTGCCCATGCTTATCCTAACAAGCATCATTAACACACAGGAGACACTTGTGGGGCCAGGCTTTCATCCTCAACTTCCCCCCATTACCCCTCTTCTCTCTGACCTCTGCTAACATCTGGATGGGAGAAACCCCGGAGGAATCTGGAAAACATCAGGCTGGGTTAAAATAAGGATTCAAACGTCATGAGGCCCCAGATGCCATGGGGATGGGCTGGCTGTGGGTGCTGTGGACAGCCAGGCAAGCCCCATCCTGCCTTGGGGAGATTGCCCAGGCACTCGGACGGGCTCTGTACCACGAGAATTGGCACAGCACATATCCATCTTCCCAGGGTGTTATTCTCACCTTCAAAAGGAAAGTGTCCCAACACCAAGTTTTGCTAACAAAAACCAATACACATTTTGGAAATTAACAGCTGCTTGGAGCTAAAAGGGGATGGCAGAGGGAGGGGAAAGATAGAAATTAAAGAAAGAAAGAAACCAGGAGAAAGGAAAGAACGTAATGTAAAACAAGGGTAGGAAAAAGCCTTTAAAGTGGAGCCAACTTTATTCAAAGGCACTGCAGAAAGTAATTACATTAAGTTTACAAATGCCTTTGTGTTCTGCAGTCTTCCTAGGTTTGGGGTGTGTTTCCAGTTTAACTTTGACAGTTTACAAACCTACCCCTGCTCTATAAAGGCAGGACTGCAACTTCGCCTGGCAGCCCCACGGGTGACAAAGACAAAACCCACCTGAGCATATTTGTAAGCAAAGTCTTACACCTTCTCCCAGAAGGAAAAATTTGCAACCAGCCTCTGAATTTAAGCCATTGATAAAGGATCTCTTTGATCAGTGAATTAAAGGAGATGGGGGAAATATGTTTCTCATGCCACAAATTACTGTTGGGATGTAGCATTTGGTTGTACTCGCCTCTAGTACAACACTCCGACTGAAAGCATCCACCAAACCTGGCTGTTTGGGATGACCGTACCATTGGGATGGACTACAGAGGAGCACGTGGTGTCCTGGCATGGCTCAGCTGATGGGTGCAGACTTGCTCTGCCGTAACATCTCTGGCACATCCAGCTGGGCAATCCCACCTGGCTTTTCATGAAAACAAACTGCAAAATCAGCTCTAAAACGCCCACTGAGAGCAGTATATGCTGGCCTGTGTGCAGCAGAGTGCCTGAACGCGGGTGTCCCCCAAAAGGGGACCATGGTGGGTCAGCCACCACTTAGGAACAGCAAACTATCACACCCAGTGGAGTTGGTTCACAACCCACACATGCCAGCATTCCCCAATGCCCAGGACAGCATTGCTTCCCCTGGGACCATGCCCATCCCATCCCACCCAGGGGTGTACCACAGTGGTACAGCACCATGAGCTTGTGCTCACTCATGGCTCCATCCCTGTCTCACTGCTTGTGAGCTCCCATGAGTTTCGGCTGCAGGAGGAGGAAGGCGGCCAGTGGCTTGACAAGCCTGTGCTGGCCCGGGCAAGAAGCGCTGCTCCTGCAGCTCACCTGCTCCTCCCCAGTGTTGGCTTTTGAATGACACATAGGCATTAAATGATCTCTTACACCAAGTGCTTAGAATTGACACATAAACAGTGTATTTGGCATGTCTCTCATTCCTGCTGGCCTCCCTTGGAAAAGCAGAGAGGAAAATACCTGAACAAGCCACATGCAAATAACCCTCTCTATGCTGCAAGTAGTTGTACACGTAGGCTCATACATGAGCTCCACAGATGACAGCACGTGCAAAACTGGAAAATGGGTTTACTGTGCTT